AATGACATTTTTACATTAACAATGTCATTTTAATGTCCGTTTAGTAATTTAAACTTCGTTTGACACAACGGTGAAATCGGCCTTTAGCTAACTATACAGGGTGTCCTTTAAAATGTGTTCTAAAATTCTCAGGCAGATTCCTTAACCAAAAAATGGAAAAAAAGTTCCTATAGACCTATGTCCTAAAGTGCCCCCTAAGCGAGCAACAGCCTCTCGAAATCATTTTTTTTATTTTGATTTTTTGAATTTTCTTAAAAATGGAAACAAATAAAAGAACCAAATTTTGGCTGTTAAATATGATCAATAATAGTGACCTTTTGACACCTTCAAAAAGAAATTATTTCGTCAGGGGTGTACTTGGGAATTTTTTGAAAATTTTGATTATTCATAACTTTTTTGTGTTTTTGGTAATGACTTATCCATATTTTTTTTTACATTCTACATTGAAAACTACGTCAAAAAGGAATACTTGTTTGATCTCGATTGGAGCAGCCGTTTCCGAGAAAACATCATCCAAAGATATTCGTGCAGTTTAGGTTAATTTTCAATTTTGGCTGTTGTAGCCAAAAAGTTGGAAATCGAGGAACACGGCTTACATGTCCCTATCCTTACTTTTGAAGGTCTATTCAGTGGCAAAAAATATTAGTTGATACAGAGTGATCAAAAATCGGATGTGATTTTGGATTTTTGATCACCCTGTATCAACTAATATTTTTTGCCACTGAATAGACCTTAAAAAGTTAGGATAGGGACTGTAAGCCGTTTTCCTCGATTTCCAACTGTTTGGCTACAACAGCCACCTGAATTTGAAAAAATGTGATTTTTGAGTAGCTGTAGATCCTTTACTATTCATATTAGATAACAAGTGTGATATATCATTGAAATCAGATTATCGAGCAGATTCTAAAAATATAAAAATATACAGGGTGTTCCATTTAAAAAACATAACTTTGATTTGGCACGGCCTTATGAAACACCCTGTCACATCGTAACTAATTTTAAAATGTGAAGCTTAAAGCTGCCTACTTTTATTATAACAGATCTACAGAGCTAATCAATCACCCTGTATACTATTTTTAGCTCTCTAAATAAAATTTAAAAATTTAGTTCCCATTTATTTATTATGAAGACCATAAGGTTTGTATTTAGCTGTTTAGAATAAAAAAGTAAAAATATGTATTTTTTGGCGTTTTTGTGTTTCATGGATAATTTTTTTCGCTCACTGATAAAAATGTTTCTTCAGTTAAACATTATTTCTAAAAGTGTTCTGGTGCGATTCGTTGTATTTTTATTATTTTGTTTAAAATGGCTCACAATAACTACAATAATGATTACACATTCGGCGAAATGACGGACATGCACTTATGTTTTGGACTCGCTTCTGGAAATGCCAATGAAGCTCGCAGACTTTATCAGGAGCGCTTTCCAAATAGGCATCTTCCATGCGCTAAGACGTTTTCTAGAATTGACGATAGACTTCGGGAAACTGGTACATTTAAGAAAAACTCTAGTAACAGTGGAAGACAAAATTATGTGAGAACTCCTGCTTTGGAAGAAGCAATTTTGGATAGGGTAGCTGAAACCCCATCGACAAGTACCAGAAAAATAGCAAATGGTAAGTAATTACTTATTTATTATTTTAGCTACCCCGTACCTTATCGTATAAAACTAGTTTTTTTACTTGTTATTGCTTCTCTTACATTTCACGACTTTTCGTATCGAAAAGAGTTGCGTTATGCAGAAAAAATCTGATTTCCCAAATCAATGGATTCTCTTTCTTAACTATTCACTACACAGATTCTCTCATTTAATTTCAGAAGTGGGAGTCGGACGTAACACGGTATGGAAAGTTTTGCGTGAACAACAATTGTACCCTTACCACATTCAAAAAGTTCAGGCACTTAAAGCTACTGATTATGAGCCGCGAGTTATCTTTTCTGAATGGTTTCTTGGAAGATGTAATCAAGATGCAATGTTTCTTAATAAAGTGCTATTTACCGATGAAGCTGGTTTCACTAGAGATGGTATAATAAATTTTCGAAATATGCATGAATGGGCTGAAGATAACCCTCACGCGGTTGTTGAACGTCACCACCAGGATAAATTTTCAATAAACGTCTGGGCTGGAGTTATTGATAATTACCTTATTGGACCATTTGTTTTGCCGAATAGGTTAAATGGAGCAGCATACAGGCTTTTTTTGGAAAATAACTTACATGAGCTTCTTGATAATATTCCGATTCAAATCAGACATAACATGTGGTTTATGCATGATGGAGCTCCACCACATTACAGCCTTGAAGCTAGACAGCACCTTAACGAAAGATTTGAGGGTAGAGTAATTGGCAGAGGTTGTCCTGTTAACTGGCCACCTCGTTCACCAGATCTAAATCTAATGGATTTTTTTGTTTGGGGTTATTTAAAATCATTGGTTTATTCCAGTCCTGTTGAAACAGTTGAAGAATTGGAAGAACGAGTTTTTCATCATTGCGAAGTTCTTAGGAATAATCCTGAAGTATTTTTTCGTGTAAGACAGTCTATGATGCGACGGTTGCGCTTGTGTGTGGAAACCAATGGTCGCCACATTGAGCATCTGCTTTAATTTTTTTTGATTTGTTTTTTTAGAATAAATATTTTTTTAAACCGTTTCTTATTATTAAATAAAAATAGTCCCACCACGACATTTGAACTACAATTATTTAGAGAGAGCTAAAAAAGTTATTTTTATTTACGAGATTCACCGAGGTAATTTAGGAAAATTGAAAATTAAGCTAAAGTGGACGAATATCTTTGGATGATATTTTCTCGGAAACGGCTGCTCCAATCGAGATCAAACAAGTATTCCTTTTTGACGTAGAATGTAGAATGTAAAAAAAAATATGGATAAGTCATTACCAAAAACACAAAAAAGTTATGAATAATCAAATGTTTCAAAAAATTCCCAAGTACACCCCTGACGAAATAATTTCTTTTTGAAGGTGTCAAAAGGTCACTATTATTGATCATATTTAACAGCCAAAATTTGGTTCTTTTATTTGTTTCCATTTTTAAGAAAATTCAAAAAATCAAAATAAAAAAAAATGATTTCGAGAGGCTGTTGCTCGCTTAGGGGGCACTTTAGGACATAGGTCTATAGGAACTTTTTTTCCATTTTTTGGTTAAGGAATCTGCCTGAGAATTTTGGGACACATTTTAAAGGACACCCTGTATATTGATAAAGTGTTATTGCCCTTATCATAAATGAATCGTGTTAACAAATAAAGTCAAAAGAACGTCTCATAATTTTTCATCTTTTAGTTACCTACTAAAATTAGGTACTACAATACAAATATTTAAGTCCGGCCCAGAATATCTCCCTACTCCTTCCACCCAGTTTTTCGGTTTTGACAAAATTCGCGCAGCGACATATGCTTCCTATGTTACCTCTATCCTTTCTAACCTCTTTGGCCGTACCATAATTTTACCTATAAGTATCAAGTAGGTAGCCCCCTAAGATACCACTGGAATTAATAAATTTATTTTATTCTCACCAAAGGAAGGCCCTTATGACGACAAATAAATCCACCAAATTTTATTTAAATCGGTTGAAAGGTTTTTGATTGATTGATAAAAAAACGATTTTTTTTAAAACTTTGACATCCTGTATCTAGAAAACGAAGCAAATTAGGACATATGCAGAGATAAGGGACATAAAGATTGGAAACGACTGCAGCAAAGATCGCGTCATGTAGCGTCTCAGATGTTAACTACAGGTTTACGTCGTTTGTAGAGAGACCAATGTTGCCAAATATTTTTTTTGAGAGACCGTACAACTAGAGTAGAAAAATGGTATTTCGACAAAAAATTGTACAATAGATACATTCATAGCATAATATAACTTAAATGGAATGAAAAAAAAAAGCTTTGAAAATATAATTTATTTATCTATTTATAAAAATGTTTACCAAAAAAAAGCTAAAGAAAATACATGAAACTTTAAATTACATTTAAAGTAATCAATGACTGTCACTTAAAAATGATTGAAATTTTGCATGCAAGCTTTGCTTATGCCGTGATAGTCGGTGTACAAAATCACCATAGTCAAAATCACGATAAGTCAGAATGAAAATGACTGCCTTCAGAAATTACGAACGGCCTATGAATCTTTGTAAGTAGTTTTTGATTTCTATTGTTTTATAGTCTGAAGTTGTTGCAGATATTTAAATAAACCTACTAAAAAAGTGAAGATCGTATTTTTACGTACGATCTCACTCATGCAATCGTACATCGTATAGAGAGTTAAAAAATCGTATAAATACGATTTAAATAGTACGGTTGGCAACACTGAGACAAACAGTAGACGTGGACAGCAGTGGACAGTTTGTAAATATAAATATCAGTTTTATGTATATCGAAGAATTCTGAATTTAAATTTTAAATTTTGAGGTCATGATTGTGTTATCCTCTCTAAATGAACTAAGCGAAATAGTTGTGGCTGTCTTTGTGTGAAATTTAAGGATAATAATTATATTTTGTAATATTGCAATTGGTCGGAGAACGTATTGCATTAGTAACACATGCCACATGAACAAATTTAACAACCCCAATGTGGCGTTCTTTAATTAACCAAAGTAGGTAAGATCTATTTATATAAGTAACACAAATAGTAATCAACTTTTGTCACAAAGTAGGTGTTTATGTATTATTTATTGTTTCAGAACAAGAAAATAACTTCAAAACGTTAAAAGATTTGATATAGGAAGAAAAATATCTGAATTCTCATTATTGAATTTGCACTCAACATTTTTAAATAAGATACCAAAATAAAAACCAAAATGCAGTGTTACAAATAATCAAAAATTAAAAAAATATTTTTCATGAATATTCATTTACAATAATTCATCGATAATAGACTGTAAGTGTAGTATTCTTTTTAATAAATAATTTAGCGTAATTACATTACCCATAAACCATTTTTAAAGAGTCATTCGCAGTAATCAGAAATTATCAGAAATCATCAGAAATCATCAGAAATCATCAGAAATCATCAGAAATCATCAGAAATCATCAGAAATCATCAGAAATCATCAGAAATCATCAGAAATCATCAGAAATCATCAGAAATCATCAGAAATCATCAGAAATCATCAGAAATCATCAGAAATCATCAGAAATCATCAGAAATCATCTGAAATCATCAGAAATCATCAGAAATCATCAGAAATCATCAGAAATCATCAGAAATCATCAGAAATCATCAGAAATCATCAGAAATCATCAGAAATCATCAGAAATCATCAGAAATCATCAGAAATCATCAGAAATCATCAGAAATCATCAGAAATCATCAGAAATCATCAGAAATCATCAGAAATCATCAGAAATCATCAGAAATCATCAGAAATCATCAGAAATCATCAGAAATCATCAGAAATCATCAGAAATCATCAGAAATCATCAGAAATCATCAGAAATTATCAGAAATTATCAGAAATCATCAGAAATCATCAGAAATCATCAGAAATCATCAGAAATCATCAGAAATAATCAGAAATCATCAGAAATCATCAGAAATCATCAGAAATCATCAAAAATCATCAGAAATCATCAGAAATCATCAGAAATCATCAGAAATCATCAGAAATCATCAGAAATCATCAGAAATCATCAGAAATCATCAGAAATCATCAGAAATCATCAGAAATCATCAGAAATCATCAGAAATAATCAGAAATCATCAGAAATTATCAGAAATCATCAGAAATCATCAGAAATCATCAGAAATCATCAGAAATCATCAGAAATCATCAGAAATCATCAGAAATCATCAGAAATCATCAGAAATCATCAGAAATCATCATAAATCATCATAAATCACCAGAAATCATCAGAAATCGTCAGAAATCATTAGAAATCATCAGAAATTATCAGAAATTATCAGAAATCATCATAAATCATCAGAAATCATTAGAAATTATCAGAAATTATCAGAAAACATCAGAAAACATCAGAAATCATCAGAAATCATCAGAAATCATCAGAAATCATCATAAATCATCATAAATCATCAGAAATCATCAGAAATCATCAGAAATCATCAGAAATCATCAGAAATCATCAGAAATCATCAGAAATCATCAGAAATCATCAGAAATCATCAGAAATCATCAGAAATCATCAGAAATAATCAGAAATAATCAGAAATAATCAGAAATCATCAGAAATCATCAGAAATAATCAGAAATCATCAGAAATCATCATAAATCATCAGAAATCATCAGAAATCATCAGAAATCATCAGAAATCATCAGAAATCATCAGAAATCATCAGAAATAATCAGAAATCATCAGAAATCATCAGAAATAATCAGAAATAATCAGAAATAATCAGAAATAATCAGAAATCATCAGAAATCATCAGAAATTATGAGAAATCATCAGAAATCATCAGAAATCATCAGAAATAATCAGAAATCATCAGAAATCATCAGAAATCATCAGAAATCATCAGAAATCATCAGAAATCATCAGAAATCATCAGAAATCATCAGAAATAATCAGAAATCATCAGAAATCATCAGAAATCATCAGAAATAATCAGAAATAATCAGAAATAATCAGAAATAATCAGAAATAATCAGAAATAATCAGAAATCATCAGAAATCATCAGAAATCATCAGAAATCTTCCGAATCACCAGAAATCATTGAGTTTTCCAAAATCGATGTACATTTTTGCTATAATGGTTACCCTTTCGGGATTACCTTATGTATTTTTTAAAGGATATAACAACTTCATGGATCAGTCGTATCTGTCAAAAACTGTATAAAGTGGCATTAGAATGTGATAACAGCAGTCAGTTTTACAAACAGATCAAATTAACCTGACAGTATTTGTTTAGGAATGCAACTGTGATATCACCATTGTATATACTTTATTAATTATAAATTGAGAGATTCATCATTGCCGAAACGGTTATTTCTTCCTCTTTTTAAAAATATTACCAAATGACAATAAAATTTAAATTTTCACTACTATTGTTTGATATATTATTATGGATTACTGTTTTTAGTCCTTATCGTAATTAAATATATTTTTAGGTCCTCTGGGCGATATTTTTGGTAGTATCCTCTACCCAGCATTAGTGGATCGCATAGGAAGAAAGAAGACAATTCTACTTATAGCGGTTCCTCAAATTTTGTCCATGACTATGATTTATCTCTCTTTCTTTTCCAAAGTGCTATTGTACTGTGCCAGGTTTATAGGAGGGTTAGCTGAAGCAGGTTGTTTTACAATTTTACCCCTATATATTGGAGAGGTAAGCATCGGATTTTTTAATTTTATTTGATATAAATTAATAGATCATACTAAATTAAAAAATGTTGGTAATTAAAATCTAAATAATTACTTATTTATTTTGGATTCCCTAAAAATATTTCAAAAGGTTGTGTTTTAAATAAATTATTACCATTGCAAATTTCTTCAGGGACTAGTAATTTTAATTGAAATTTACAGAAGCGGCGCAAGGCGTGGTCGACGTGGGCCACCGCCTACGGCCTCGCGGCCTGAAGGGTCTCGCGCGTCGAAGGTTTAATGCAGCTTTCTTTAAATTATGAAAAATATTTATTTTGTTTCCTTTTCACCTCTGACCTACCTATATGTAAGCTAAAATCATATAAAAGAATTTTAACTTTAATATAAAAAACAACGAATAACGAATTATTTTAAATAAGAAAGAATGCCAAATTCTAAACAATATCAAAATCTGTTTTTTGTTCCAATATATATATCTCTCGAAGTGGCGCCGTAGTGAAATAAGAAGTAGGTAATATCGTTTTTCTACACCCACATGGATATTAGCTTATCTACGCTCAGATTACAAAACGAAAAAGTAAGCTATTGCGCTCAACCAAACGAATATATTTCATATCCATTCTAGGTAGTGAGAACACTGCAAAAAATGAAATCCACCAATCACAGTTCATATTTTGGACACCCAACAACTATTATTTTTAAAATTTTAAATAAGTGATAATTCTGTCAAACTAATTGTCATTAAATTTTTTGGTTGTTGAGAATAAATATAGATTAAAACGAAATTTATTTTTGAGTGGAAACGATAAATAATAGCATTTTTATTTTAACATTTTGAAAATTTTTATCAAACTTTATGAAACTAATTTAATTACGAGTATTAAAACTAAAATTACAAAAGTGGTCGTGAAGCTTTGGCCAGAGCATCTGCCTTCCACGCGAATAGTCCGGGTTCGAATTTGGGCTCGGGACAATTGTTCTTTAAGTTTATATTATTTTATAAAATAATAAAATTCATAAATTATTTTAAAATTAATTATTTTGTCTTAACAACCTAAAATAATTTTTTAAATTTGTAGATTTTTATTAATGGGCCGTAGAAAAAATATACTGTACAACTCTAGTGGATTTTCCATATCTACTCTTGTTGCACAAACTACAATTTTCAGTGAGTAGGTATGCTAAATTGGTAGAATCCTGTAAATGGCCATATATTCGCTTATTTTGTTTTCTGTTTGTATAAACAGATTTTGATGTGAGAATGAGGTCCACTGATTGAAAGGGATAAATATTAAATAAAAAGTAAACCGGTCCATTGAACTAAAATAAATAAAAAAAAAATGGTTTTAAGGTTTGAACCTTTAAAAGTGTTGCTGGTTAAAGTGAAATATATAAACTATTACGCACATATAGTGTGTCAATTTAAAACTTCTCTTTGGCAATTGTTCTACGCAAAAATAATAAAAATAAATTACTTTATTTATAAAACAATATAATTAAAAAACTAAAAATGGAATTATTATATTTATTCTCCTCTAATATTCGATTCCAGAGGTGAAAAGTGAATCATTTGGAAGATGTGTCTTTTGCGGTTTTGTTTGCGCTCTTTCTCTTTCTTTCCTTTTTTCTTTTCTATTTATTTCTTAAGACGTCCCCCTTTATATGATTTTTGACTAATTTTAAAATTATTTAAAGTGGACTGGTCTCGAGTGGGTGAGAGCAGTGCTTTCAAACCTTACAAATTTTATGAAGATTTACAAATATTGATCCCAAATTTACCTGATTTCATTAAAGATGTAAAATTTTAATGATTCTCATATAGCCCAATCGGATTAGGTGAAGAACAGGCTTGAGATTCTGAAAAATTCGAAGCAGCAATTTTCCTTCGGAATTCGTTGGAGGGGGTCTGTGGTAGTCTAAATTCAAAAAGTTGGGATTCCAAAGTTGTCGTTACCTCCGCCAGCTTGATTTAAAGGGTTATTTTTTGTATCTTGAATAACTCATTTATTTTCAATTTTACACGGAAAATAGTTTTTACAAAAGTTATTTAAAATTAAATTTCCTACAATTCTGTTTTTTTTTGTACGATCGATTTTTTTCGATTTATACCCGAAAAGAGGGGGTGAATTTTTGGTTATAGAATAACTCGTTTATTTTCAATTTTACGAGAAAAATTGTTATAAACAAAGTTGTTTAAAATTAAATTTCCTACAATTCTGTTTTTTTTGTACGCTCGATTTTATTGTATTTATCCCTGAGAAGAGTGGGGGTAAACTCTTATCATTGTATTATCACGTTTCTTTTTAATTCCAGGTATCAGCAAAAAAAAACAAACAGAAAAATAATGGTACAACATCAATAATAAACGTGACAATACAATACTTAGGTTCACCCCCACTCTTCTCAGGGATAAATACAAAAAAAATCGATCGTACAAAAAAAAACAGAATTGTAGGAAATTTTATTTTAAACAACTTTGTTTATAACAATTTTTCTCGTAAAATTAAAAATAAAGGAGTTATTCTATAACCAAAAATTCACCCCCTCTTTTTGGGTATAAATCGAAAAAAATCGATCGTACAAAAAAAAGCAGAATTGTAGGAAATTTAATTTTAAACAACTTTGTTTATAACAATTTTTCTCGTAAAATTGAAAATAAACGAGTTATTCTATAACCAAAAATTCACCCCCTCTTTTTGGGTATAAATCGAAAAAATCGATCGTACAAAAAAAAAAGCAGAATTGTAGGAAATTTAATTTTAAACAACTTTGTTTATAACAATTTTTCTCGTAAAATTGAAAATAAACGAGTTATTCTATAACCAAAAATTCACCCCCTCTTTTCGGGTATAAATCGAAAAAATCGATCGTACAAAAAAAAAGCAGAATTGTAGGAAATTTAATTTTAAATAACTTTTGTAAAAACTATTTTCCGTGTAAAATTGAAAATAAATGAGTTATTCAAGATACAAAAAATAACCCTTTAAATCAAGATGGCGGAGGTAACGACAACTTTGGAATCCCAACTTTTTGAATTTAGACTACCAGAGACCCCCTCCAACGAATTCCGAAGGAAAATTGCTGCTTCGAATTTTTCAGAATCTAAAATACTAATCCGATTGGGCTAATAAAAAGTTACATTTCTTAAGCAACTGCCAAAAATTCCTTAATTAATTATTTTGTAATCAAGAGTAATTAATTAATTTCGACAGCACTACATTTTCAAAATATGCCAAATAAATCGGAGATTATCAAAGATAGGTATAGCAAATCTTTGTTAAACTTAAACTATTTTTAAGAGTTGTACTAAATTTAAAAGAAAATATAGAGTGTCCCATTTAAAAAAATATAACTTTATATTGGTATTCTGGTTTGGGGCACCCTGTACATATGAAACTAATTTTAATTTGCGGCCACCGTTGAATTGTACATTTAAGCCTAAGGAATTTTTAATATCTTTAGCAGACGTACCGACACTTGAGCCTGGGAACTTTTTAAAGATCGTGGGAACTAACCTAATGCGTGGGTAGATCATGTAACGGAAGAAGTGGGAGGTTTAAATTTGTATTAACGTCGAACAGAAAAAACATGCGCAGAACGAAAAGTCAGAAGGGCCTTAGCGTGTTTCTCGAATATTACTGGTTCGATTCAAACGGAAAAAACGGCATTATGTAGAGAACGCGGTATAGATTAACGGCGAGCAGAATAATCATGCGCAGTTTGAAAGTCAGAAAGGCCTAAGCTTCAATTTCCGTTATTACTGGTCCAATTCAAACGGGATAAAACGGCATTATGTAGAGGACGTGGTATAAATAAAAGTTAAAGAGAAAAATTGACGTTTTGTTTGACGTTTCGCATTATGTTTTCATTTGACTTTTGACGTTTCGCATGACGTTTTTGTTTGACGTTTTCATTTGACGTTTTCGTTTGACGTTCTCGTTTGACGTTTCGTACTTCAACTGAAATAGCTACTACTACAATTAGGTTGATCGAGCGGTCTAACGTAAGTCCATCCTCCGAATATTCAGTATTGAGATGTTTAACAAAGAGAATAGACGTAGGATTAAAGAGAGACAAAAATTATATAAAGATAAAAACAAGTTTTAAAAGATTTAACAAATTTAAGTCTTAACCTTTTGTAACCAGCACGTTGTTTAATATAGTCGTAAGTATAATGAAATTAGCCTTTAAGATGGCCATATTTGCGTTGGTTGGATTCTTCTAAGCAGTAGAGGATGATATCTCTCAAAGACTTTATCCCAAAGACTGAAATTTGTTAAATCTCTTAAAACTTGTTTTTATCTTCATATAATTTTGTCTCTATTTAGTTCTCTAACTTTTACACCAAACTCTTCAATCCTACGTCTATTCTCTTCGCTAGACATCTCAATACTGACTATTCGGAGAATGGACTTACGTTAGACCGCTCGACCAACATGACTGTAGTAGTAGTAGTAGTAGTTATTTTAATTGAAGTACGAAACGTCAAACGAAAACGTCAAACGAAAACGTCAAACGAAAACTTCAAACGAAAACGTCAAACGAAAACGTCAAACGAAAACGTCAAACGAAAACGTCAAACGAAAACGTCAAACGAAAACGTCAAACGAAAACGTCAAACGAAAACGTCAAACGAAAACGTCAAACGAAAACGTCAAACGAAAACGTCAAACGAAAACGTCAAATGAAAAATTCAAACGAAAACGTCAAAGGAAAACGTCAAACGAAAACGTCAAATGAAAACGTCAAACATAACATCATGAGAAACGTTAAAAGTCAAACGTCATGCGAAACGTCAAACGGAACGTCGATTTTTCTCTTCAACGTTCATCTATACCACGTTCTCTACATAATGCCGTTTTTTCCGTTTGAATTGGACCAGGAATAACGAAAATTAGAGCTTAGGCCCTTCTGACTTTCAAACTGCGCATGGTTATTTTATTTGACGTTAATCTATACCGTGTTCTCTACATAGTGCCGTTTTTCCCGTTTGAATTGAACCAGTAATATTCGAGAAACATGCTAAGGCCCTTTTGGCTTTTCGTTCTGCGCATTATTTTTCTGTTCGACGTTAATACAAATTTAAACCCCTACTCCCTTTGTTACATGATCCACCCACTCATTAGGTTAGTTCCCACGGTCTTTAAAAAGTTTCCAGGCTCAAGTATCGGTACTCCTACTACCGTTTGTAGTTTACCCACCAGGTTCCGTTCCGTTAAGTGTGTCGCACCCTATAAATTATACGTTTCTGTAAATATCTGACAGAAAAGTTTACATATTTTTATTTTGTTTCAGGTTTCTGAACCCAAAGTACGTGGGATATTAGGCTCTTTATTCTCCTTAATTTTCATCGTTGGCGTTTTCGTCGTAAACTCCATTGGATCTTACGTTACAATTCACACAGCTGCTCTCATATTTATGGTACTCCCAGTTCTCTTTGTGGTACTATTCTCACAGATGCCAGAAAGTCCCTATTATTTCATAATGAAATCAAATATAACCAATGCCGAGAAGAGCCTGCAAGTTTTAAGAGGAAAACGAAATGTTGAAAGGGAATTAACAGGCCTTATTAATGACATTAATAGGCAAATGTCTGAACCATCGAGTTATAAGGATCTTTATCAGATACAAAGTAATAGAATCGCATGCATGGTAATGTTCGGATTAAGAATTATTCAACAACTCAGCGGTACATCTGCTATTTCTTTATATATGCAGACTATCTTTAAAAAATCTACAGATATAATGTCTAAACAATTGGCATCTATACTTATTTTTGGCCTTCAGCTAAGTGTTAACTTTACAGCTGTTCTAATAGTTGACAAAATTGGCAGAAAGCCTTTATTAATAATATCTTGTATAGGATGTACATTGAATTTAATTATAATAGGTATATATTTTACTGTCCAAGATCTTACTGATTTAAATCTAGCCAGTTTCAATTTTATTCCTTTAGTTTGTGTCGTACTTTTCACCATATCTTTTGCTATTGGCCAAGGCAATGTTGTTAACCTAATGATAAGTGAAATGTTTTCTTCAAGCATTAAAGCTAAAGCTTCCTGTCTCATGAATATTCTATTTGCTTTTTTTATGTTGTTCACTACGAAGTTCTTTCAGGTGACGTCTGATTACTTAGGAATGTATGTACCGTTCTTTTTTTTCGGAGTTTGCCAGATTTTAGGGGGAATATTTTCATATTTTGTAGTACCGGAAACAAAGGGTAAAAGTTTAGAGGAAATACAGCAATACTTGAAGAAAAAAATTTGAACGAAATAAAACAAAAACACAGATATCTATATTTTGTTCTATTAGAAATACATGTAGTTCTTCTCGATGATAAAGAAGTCCTTTGGTTTCTACGTAACGATTATTAATACTACACGAGAATAATACTTTTTAGAAGAAATAATAATATTTATTTAAAAAAAAGTTGACAGATGCAGAATGAACTGTTGTCCAAAACAAACCCGTTTTTAATTTAAATTACAATCTAAATATTCGCTAATAGAGTAAGGTTCTAATTCCATAATTAGTTTTTTAATTTCTTTTTTAAATTTATTATTTAAGAAACATTTTTTTCTTCTTAAAGGTAGTTTGTTGTAAAATTTTATTGGCATGTAGGGGAAATTCGGGTAACTGTGCGCAAATTTAAAATTTGTTTTGAAACGAGTACAACTTCTGCAAAGGGGAATCGCCGAGAGGCTTAGTAAATAGATCAAAGTATGCCCTATATTATGGCCTTTATTAAACAAATCAGTTAATCAAAATTAATATCCTACAATTTTTACACCTTGAATATTTTTTTCTTGTGTATTAATAAAAAAAACCCAAATATTAATGTGCAAAATTAATACTTTAATTCTGTAATAGTTACATTTACAAATAAGCTTAAAAAATAATTGAAAAGAGGTACTAAAAACATTGAATTATTTGAAAAAACAAAAGGTATTTTAATTACAATTGTAATTTTCTGGTGAGTCATATCCACTGCAAAGAGCCGTGAGCCCAATTCGAACATATAGTGTACCTATACCAGGTTTCAGATTTCAAGGGCAACTCTCCACATATTAAACACTAATTTTCATCAACATCTGGATATTCATCGCATTCTTCATCACCGCAAAGCATACTGCCACTGTCAATAGATTCAACCTCAATCACTCTCTTCGAACAGTTGATTTTTTACGTTCTTTCTTTTCTTGGATTTTGTTTTGTTATTGATCTTTTTAATATTACTCCGGCGATCAAGTTCTCTTTGACATTCTGTTTTTTTTTCTTTCTGCCTCTTCTAACTCGTCCTTGTTTGGTGTTGCTGTCAGTATGATACTTTTCTATTTATTTTTTTTTATACTTCCTAGTGCTGCTAGTACTGGGAATTGGAGATAAAGTATCCGCTGTTACTACATGTTTAACTTATAATCGTTTGAAAATAGTTTTTGAGGGTGAAATTCTACCTGACCCTGATTTAGATGTCCTCTCAGAACAACAACTTACCAATGATTCAGTAACTAGATTCCTCATTTCACTTGATGTTCGATGCAATGTTGGCTCCAATGTTTTGCTTGTCGATGGTTGACTTTCTGAATTCAAAATAACAGACGCATCATTTGGCTTGGAAGGAATATTTTTATTTTTGTTGTCAGGTAATATAGTTTCATCATTAACAGATAGAAATTGGGATGCTGGTGCAAAGTCTTCCAAAATAAATTTGTCTGGATGGAAGGGGTATATACCTGCAAACCTAAACCCAGATATCGTTGTTTCCATTGTCGCTACTTTGACAAAAGCTTTATTGAAAATTTCAGCCAAGTCATACATTGTAATTCTTTCATGACTTCTCAAAAAGAAGTCGCATTCTTGATTGTATGCTGATTTCAAAGGACCGAAAAACGTGAGATCTGAGGTTACGATACGTGACGATACCGGTACTTTTACAGAGTTAGTATATGGACAAGGAAATATGGCTTGAGTGATTGTCCAAAATCACAAGGACAGGATTCATTACAGTTGGTTTAACCGATTGGGAAAAATGTTGAAGCCAATCCATAAATAAATTCTCGTTGCTCCAACCTGACACTGAACAATAAAATAGAGTTCCAATTGGGCCATTTTTCGCCAAAAGGTCTGTCATGCGCTTTCGAGGAAAAATGAACATTGGTGTTATGTACCTACCAAGTACATTACAATAGCAAATTACTGTTACATTTTTTCCTTTATCTGCTGAAGTCTTGTAACCAAGTTGCTTTATTCTCTTTGGAGCCAAACACTTAACCGGTTTCTAAACGACTGTAATTCCGGTTTCATCCACGTTGTAAATATTGTCCGGAGTAAATTTATATTTGTTATATACTATCTCTAGATTTGTGAAAAATAATTTTACGGATTCCTGGTTAAAAGCTTTGATTCGATTAACACTAGTGGCCTCAGGTTTCCGCAACGTTATATTTGGATATATTTCCATGAAATTGTAGTACCAGTCTTTCCCATCTAGAACGTCATTAGATACAAAGGGAAACCTAAAATATAATATTTTTATAATGTATTTTTAGTTTGAATAAGTATAGTATACCTCTTTTATAAGTGTTTATAAGTAGAATGTAACTGGGCATTCGGTTAATTGTTTATCTTCTCATTTTATTACACGTTTATCTACACAATTCTTTGTTTTTATAGTAGTTTTATTTGTATTGGGTAGGTAGGTACCTAATAAATGAAATTAAGTAGAGTTAAATGTATACCAGACATTTACATTATTAAAAATATCGTTAATAAAGATTATAAAGCATAAAGGACCTAAAATGGAACCTTGTGGTACACCGGAAACTTGAGATGTCAAGCGAGACTTAACACCACTAATAAGAATATACTGGGAACGATTACTTAAATGGGAACGAAGGAAAGATAGTACATTGTCAGAAAAATTCAACATATTCAACTTGGATAACAAAATTGCAGATAATAGCGATTGGTCTATAATTTGTAATATCATTTCTGTTGCCCTACACCGGGACAGTTTTTGAAATTTTCCATTTCTCGGGAAAACAGACCTGGATATTCATATCAAAACTTTTTTCGAGATGAAGTTTTATGAAATAAAGTAAGGGTTGGTAATTTCACCCCCTATAATGTAACAGAAATATTGAAAAATACCAGTGGTTAGTCCTTTGCGAGTGCACGAAAATTAAAAAATTTCAAGTTTGTAGCTTTACTGAAATTTTAGAAAAAAATAAAAACTCAGTTTTAGTCGCCACCTTTTAAGAGTGATATCTCGGAAAGGGGTGGGCTGAGGAAATTTTGTTATAGGAAAGATCCATCTTAATTTCATTTTGTCGCATGAATTTAGAAACACCATGTATAAAATGGTCATATAAGATGGTCATAAAATAGGCTCAGAGCTTTATCAGCTTGTGAAATGTTACGTAAAAATGTCCAGTCGACCAATAATAAGTCTCTATAAAGGGCAACAAAGTTTGCTTTTTTAAAGTTGTAAGCGAATGCGTTAAATACTGGAGTTTTAATAGAAGAGTTTTTAAAGTTTACTTCGAATGCCAACGCGGGATGATATCTGTCTTCTGGATATACCAAAACATCATCGGCCTTTTGGACCGAGCACGACGAAGTTGAGAAAATTAAATCTAAAAATCGCATGTCACAGTTAGTAATGTTATTGTATTGTGTAAGCTCGAAAAAATTACAAAGATTATTTAAAAATTGCATTCTGGTAGAAGTATCACTTAAGTTTAGTCTGTCGGGAAGCCCGGTCTAGGACGCAGAAAAAAAAACGAGGTATAACCAAATGGGACCTTCACCATTTGAAAAAGCATGCTGTTTTACATTGAAAATGAAAATTGACAACTCTCTCCATTGGTCGAGACTAAATAACTTTGAACACTCGTAACTTTCTTACTAAAGAAGTTAGAATAATAGTTTTTTTGTTTTATTTCTGATTCATTTTCCTTTCTTCTATTATTATTTTGCTGCATTTTGTCTCGGTTAATATTTATTTATTTATTTATTTATTTGGGTTACACCATCCAACAGTATAAAACCAATTACAGGATGGGCACAAAAATAATTACAATTACAGTATAATTTACGTCATAAAAATAATAACAAAATATTAAATACTAATAATAGCATAAATATATGTAAACAAAAAATAGTTTAATAAACGTTTTAAACCATCATAAGAAAACGCAAAAAAAACTCCGTTAGGAGAAAAAATTACGTTGTCTTATGATAATTAACTCATTCCACAATTAAGCGTTTTATTTCTTTAATCGAAATAGAAAATAAAGTAACATCATTTTGAAGTTCACAAAAATTTTGATACATAAAATACATTGGAGAATTTTAAAATAATTGTCCTGGATGTCTGAAAATAGAAATAAAAAGGGGAGCGAGTTCTGATACTAGGAACATTAAACATTAGTTGGCGAAGTAGTTCGGGACAGTCAATTTTAAAATTTAATAATTAGTAAAGAATGCAGATAGAATAACATTTCCTGCGAGTACGTAATTCAAGGATATCAAATCTATTCAGCAAGATGGTTTGCGGAATATTGCGAGTAGGGTAGACGCCATCTAGCTTGCACCATAAATATTTGACAAATTTTCGCTGAATTTTTTCTAATGCTTGGCTATATACTTCATATCCAGGACTCCAAACAATAGACGCATATTCTAGCTTACTACGTACAAAAGCGTTAAAAATGGTTTTTAAAGTGTTAGGATCAGAGAACTGGCGTCCATTTCGAATGACAAAACCCAAATTTCCGTATGCTTCTTTTTGAATAGTATTGACATGTTCAATAAAGTTTTACTTAGCGTCGAAAAGAACACCAAGATCTCTAAAAGAAAGACATTTATTGATGGTAATATTGTTGACAGTGAAATTATACTCAATCGGATTAAGTTTGCGAGTGAAGCTGATAAAATTGCACTTAGATATGTTTAGTGGTAAGTTGTTAGAATTACACCAAAGGTTCAATTTATTTAGGTTCTCCTGCATAATCAAACAGTCATCAATACTAGAGATTGATTTAAACAATTTTAAATCATCGGCATAGAGTAGAGTATTACATGATAGGTTTTCAGTAATGTCATTTACAAAAATGGAAAATAAAAGTGGTCCTAGAACTGAACCTTGAGGGACAACGGAAGAAGCTTTTATACAAATTGACTGAAAACCATGGTATTCAACTTTCAATTTACGATTACTTAAATATGATTCAAAGAAACGCAGAAAAGACGTAGTGAGTCCAACA